AGGTGCGGCCGGTCATAGTGGAGATGGTAACTAAGATTTCCTGCGCCTCTGGCTCCTATCCCACCCCAGCCCCTGCCCCCCAGCCAGCCAGCCAGCCAGGGAGAGCTTGCGTCCTTAATACCAGGGGGAAGGGATGAGCCTGTCAATGCAAACTGTCAATGCTCAGCTTTCACATTCCAGCCATCTGGGCGCTGGGGGATTCAGACCATACAGACTGGCACTTACAGCCAACTGCATCCCAGCATAGAAGGGCCACATGGGCATGGTGGCAAGTACCAGGGAGCGAAGCAGAAGATGCAGAAAGGACCAGCATGGGATCAGAAGGTCCCAGTGCTCACAGTGGGGTCAAGACCAGGTGGCAGACTAGACGCCCACCCTCCCCGACAGCTGCGGTACTCCGAAAGCCCCTTCAGAACTTAGGCACAGCACAGGGGAAGTTGTGGGGAACCCCAGAGTTGAGTCATTCAATTTCTGTCATTCAGCAGGATGGAACACAAAAGAGAGATCAAGCTGTTTTGTAGAAAAATGAAGTGACGTATCCTCTAGCCCTCCGTTTGTGAACCAAGACTCGAACACACTTAGCAGGTCGGAGAGTGGAGACACGAGGCGGGGAAGGGGAGCATGCATTCAGGACACGGGGTGACAGGACTCAGCCACCTAGTAGGGGCAGCCGAGGACACACTGAGATGCCCACTCTGGTGGGTGTGAGTATTCTGGCCTCCAGAGAAGGGACAGTACTTTGGAATGGGAATAATTCATGAACAACTTCTGTGGCCTGAGCAGAAAACCCTCAAGAACATTCGATTCCATTTGCTCTGATTGCAGCCTCACTAAGCAACCTTCTGACAGCTAATTTGGTTTCCGGGGGAACCTGGAGGGCGTTCCGGCTTACTGGACCTGTATTGAGAGGCGGACTGGGGAGGTGTTGAGAGCCGGGTCAGATCAGGGGGCCTCTTTGCATTCGGGGGTCTGGCATGTGGGTCTGGGAGCCGAGCTCCATACTGGGACGACCACACTGAGGTTGTGCCGGTTGGGGATTAGCAGACCCCGTTCCGAAGCGGATTGTTAGCACCCTGCTGAGGGGCAGAGTCTGTGTTGAGACCTGGGGGGACCACAGGGGAGGGACGTGAGGGGGGGACGCGTGACAGCCGCTGGGAGGGCCACGTCGCTGAGCCACGTCCTGAGGCTGACATTTCACTTTGAGGAAGCCATCGTAGGGAAATCAGGAGAAGTGGGCAACACGTGTGCTTATGTTCATCGAAGTGTTGTTCATAATCCTGGAAAAAAATCATCCACTTTCCAACACTCTTGACTCTTTTTTTTTTAAAGAAAGGCGGACTGCCGAGTACAGCACCTCATCTGCTTGTGTCTGGAGTCTTGGGAGCTTGACTGCCTACATCCTCTACAGACGGACCCGAGAGCTTGTTTGGAGGGTCTAGCACAGGGAGCAGCTACTAGTAGACCCTCGAGCAGGGACCCATCCTCCTGTACCAGGGAAGGCCAATCTCACTTCAGAATCATCTCAATAGGAGCAGAAAATTCTATCCAATAGTACCCAAGAAAGATTCAACAGAAATGCAATGATGGCTCAATATTAGAAATGCATCACCGTCGAGCAGGGGCTCTTTGAGAGCAAGCACCCCATGCCCAACCCCGGGCCCTCCCGCCTGCCAACACCTGGGCTGGTCCTTGCCCACTCCCCTCCCCCCACAGTTTGGGGCTGCAGCTTTCTCTGCCTGCCAGAGGCCGGGTGCCTCCCCTGGGGTAAGCCCGGAGAAAGCCTCTGATCAGTCCCAGGTCTTAGTCCCTGGGAAAGGAAAGCAAAACAGAGCGGGAGAGGCAGAAAAAGAAAGCAAGCATCTTAGATGTGGAGGGAATGGGTAGGATCCCTCCGGTACCCGGTAATCACTACCGGCATCATCATCACCGGCATCACCTGGGAAGAGGAGTGTTCACGCGGACACAGGTGCGCGGGCGGGAGGTGGAGAGCAGCTTCTGACGGGTGTGGAGCTGCGTGCCCGGAGAAGGCGCTCAGGCAGCTCCCCAGGAGGCCCACCGTGGGAGCACAGCTTGGCAAAGACTGGAATTATGGAAGTATCTTATTAAAAGGACAGAGGGAGGTGGGGGTATAGCTCAGGGGTAGAGCACTTGATTGCAAACCAACAGGTTGCCAGTTCAAATCCTGATGCCTCTATGTGGAGGACCTTTCATTCCAGTGGAAGGACAGCTCCTTGCTACCCCTAGGCCCAGCCTCCCGGAATCTAGCTTTCCAACAAGTAGTGAAGACTGAGTGTGTCATGTTTATGTCAGCCATACTCATTTCCTGAAGGGATAGAGGAAACCTGCCCTAGGCTTTCTCAGTGTTTCCCTTGTGCCTAATTATTACCATCCTGATTTTATTTGTTTATACCAAGCTTGCTTCAAAAAAAAATTGAATCCGAGGCAGCTCGCAATAAAAGATACATAAAAGTCCAACTGATCAAACAAGTATAAACAGGGCTGACTATATGAGGTTGTTAAAATTATGGCGACAGAAAGCAGAAGGGGGGATGTCGGGGGCTGGGGGATGGGCAGTTATTGATGAACAGGGACAGGGTTTCAGTTTGGGAAGATGAAAAAGGTCAGGAGACAGATGGTTGCACAGCCATATGAGTATACTTAATGCCGCTGAATTGTACACTTAAACATGGTTAAGGCAACACGTTTTATGTTATGTATTGTTTACCACAATTTTTTAAATTGAAAGGGGAAAAAAGGCAAGGACTGAACATTCAGAGAGGAGGTAAATAATTATTCCTGAGAGCCCAGGTTAGGAGAAGCTACTATTGCTGAATATAAAACTCATCTCTGAGCTTCCTGGTAATCAAACAGGAGTGGAAACATACCTATTTATCAACGGAGTGCAATATCTCATTAGCTCTGAGAAACAGCAGACATTCATATGATAGGTCTTTACAGATGGAACACTGGAGAGATGGTTATTGACAGGGCAGCCAGGTACAGATGCACAGATTGTGCATTATACAACTCCACCAGTTACATAGTACCCTGCAGTTATGTTTAACTAGCCACATTTTACCCCTTTACAAAAAAAAAAAAAAGAGTAGAAACTGTGCAACACACACATATGTATACATGTGTGAGTGTGCATGTGAGCGTGTGTGTGTGTGCATGTGTGTGTGGAGGGGGCAGAGCTCACCAGTTAACTACCCAATATACATTCTTCCCTCTTCCTTAGTAACAGAACCCTGATTTTATAGAGCAGTTATGCCCACCCTAAAGACCACATTTCCTGGCCTCTCTTTGGCTAGGGGAGGCAAAGAGGGATAAGATGCAGTCATTGGACAAGACTTCTGGGAAAACTTCAGAGAAGGACAAACACGACATGTCCTTTTTTTGGCCTTTACTCCTGCTTCCTACTTGGAGCACAGATGTGATGGCTGGAGTACCAGCTGCCACCTTGGACCATGGGTCAACCTTGAGGATAGGATCCACATTTCAAGAAAGGCTGACCAGAGAGCTAAAAGGAACCTGTGTCCCTAAAGACACCCTGGAGTGGCCATGCCAGTCCAGGTCTGCTCATCCGCACACACCCTTTGCAAAAGAAAGGCATGTGTATCTAGCTTGTTTACACCACAAAGGAGATGTGTTTACACCACAAATCAACATGAGTCAGAAGGCTCCTGTCCTTTCCCCATCAACTACGAAGTATCAAGGACCTAGCTCAGTAGGTCTGAGTTACTCATTAGAAGGAGGCTCTTCTAAGAAGGCTACTTCCTTGACCATGAAACTCCCACTGTTACAGTCAACTGGGCGCTCCTGAGGTCTTCCTAGCTCACCCTGTGACAATGTATAGCAGTGCAAGGAAAGATCCTTCTACAGGTGCACGTTTTGTGGGGCACCCAGCTCCACCTGGTCCAAGCCCACCTCTCTGTGGAATAAAGAGAGCTCAGGGCCCATGTGCATTTGGCTACTTCCTTGCCTGTAAGCACCCCCAGGAACTTTCTGTCTTTCCCACTAGAAATGCACAGTACAGTAGTGAGCGGGTCTGCCCCCACCCCCACCCCACCCCCTGCACAACAGCACTCTCATTTCTGGTCATTTCTGCATTCTTTAACTGAATGCAGTTTCTAACTGGTGGAGTATGACTCGCCTGCTGGTTGGAAAAGGTAGTTCTACAGAGGGCTTGCATGTCTATCTCAACAGATAGTAAAGTCATCCCTCTATTCCGGAGGAGTTCATGGTCAGCATGTCCTCGAGCCTGGTGCCCTTCAGTAAATACGTCGCGAAAGCAAGCACGAGCCTGGTGCCATTCAAAGTGTCGTCCATGAGCTCTCTGTCAATGCTTAGAAATTCTACAACAATCTGACGTTAGCCACTCTGGTGTTGGCGGGGGGGGGGGGGGGCAGTGGGGGGGGTCTCAAAGTCCGCAAGTCTGATGCACTATTATTGAGCCATGACAGAATTTTGGAAAATAAAAATAAAGCTGATCCTTCGCTGCAGAAAGTTGGAAAAGCTTTGCTCGACTTCATCCCCCTTGGAGATGCATTTGTCAGCAGCGTGGAACATAAGGCACTTCAGGATTTAGCTCGCTGTGGCAGTCAGAGCCCTTGGGTCCAGCAACGGAAGCCAGATGGAGCCTCAAACGTTTATTACAAATATATATCTCACCAGGAAAGAGGAGGGGGAAAGGAGACTCCAGGCAAGCTTTCTAGGAACAATGCCCCAAGCCAAGCTGCAGACCTGGCGTGCTGAAGAAACACCCACACCCACCGCCAGCACCCAGCGCTGGGGGCCAGTCTGTTTCCACCAGAACCAGCACACGCCCCGCATCTGTCCCAAACACTCAAGGCACCATCCCGACGCCATCCCGACACCGCCCCCAAATCACAAACTAGAAAGGATCAATTCGCTTATATCAAAAGGTAAATTCGTGCAGGACTAACATGGAGAAGCTGACAATGAACATTCTAGTCATCGTTCAGTGGGCAGCACCTTACCCCGGGGCTTCACTTTCTGCCGGAATACCAAGCCAGGTACAGACGTTGTGGTCTCAGATGGAAACTTCAGGGATCTTCCAAGCTGGTGCCGAGAAGGGATGGTGCCTTTTTGGAAAAGGAAGATAGTTATGGCATGAGAGGCTGCGTTTATAGTTGCCCAGACCTAGCAGTTCTGTAGTGAGTCCGAATGAGCAGCCTGTGTGTGGAAGTGTAAGTTTATTAATTACACCTTCTTTAACAGGAGGGGGTATAGCTCAGTGGTAGAGCATTTGACTGCAGATCAAGAGGTCCCTGGTTCAAATCCAGGTGCCCCCTTCAAGAACCTGCTTTTTCCTCCTTCACCTGAAATGACAAAATTGAGTTGAATAGTCACTGTCCTCTAGTACCCCAGACAGGACGAGGCTGGCTTGAGCCTACGAACCAGCACACTTACGGTCATTCCATAGACTCAGCACCGCCTTGAAGACCAAGGACAAGGCCGAATCCATCCCAAATGTCCTTTTTGAGGGTCTGTTTCCCCAGAGCCGCAATGGTCCCAATTTCAGCATCATCCAGGGTCCAGTCCAGAGGCAAAAGCTGCCTCCGTTATTTTAGCAGAGAATTTAATATAAATCATCGCTAACGAGTGTATCAGTTTCCTAAAGCTGCTGTAACAAAGTACCACAAGCTGGTGCTTAAAACAACAGAAAGGTATTGGCGCACCGCTCTGGGGCCCCGAGGCGGAAATCAAGGGGTTGGGGCAGGGCACACCCTCTCTGAAGAGGAGGGTCCTCCCTGGTTGTCGTCTCCCTGTGTGTGTCTCTCCTCTTCCTACCAGGACCCGGTCATACTGTGCCCCGATCCTCTCCACCGTGACCTCACCCCAGCTCGCTGTCTCCCCCATGGCCCCATCCAAGTAAGGTCGCATCCTGCGGTACCAAGGGAAAGATTTCAGCAGATCTTTTTGGAGATCCGACCCACAACAACCAGAACGTGGAGAACTGACAGACGAAAAGGAGGGACTGAGTTTCACGGAGGTGGTAGCTGTAAGAAGCGGCTCGGGCTCCGGGGCCGGGGGAACAAAGAGAGGAGGAGGAACTTGGGAAGTCTCACGGGCGTGGGGGGATTCTCTGCAGATCCTGGCCTCGGTTCCCTAAGGAGGCATTGGTGTCCCCGAAAAGCCGTGGCAAGGTGGGTCCTGCGAGCACCAAACTGCAGGTGGCAATCACGGCTGCTCCTGGGACGGGCTGTGGCTGCTAGGTGACCCCGACAGGAACCACCACAGGCAGAACAGGTGCCTGGTCCGGCTCCCACCTTCCCGTCTCCCTCCCAGAGCCCTACGGGGGACCAACCGGGAAGCCACCCGGCAAAGGATAAGCGTGGTTTACAGAGTCCCAGAGCCAGCATCACAGGGCAGAGCCCAGAAAGGGGGACTTGGAGCCTAGGGACAGTCATTTCTTCAGGTGGCTCATCTCACCCAGCAGTTTAAGGGTTGACTACGGGGAGAGCTGAGGCGATGAGAGAGGGCTCTGGCTGCATCCGAGGGTGTAGCATTGTGTGGAGGGCTCCGACCCACCACCAGTCCGTGTGTCTTCTACCCTTCAAGTGGTGCGCATTCTGGGCATTCTGAGTCTGTGTTCAGGTGCTCAGCACAAAAACCACAATACAGATGTTACGACAGATCCTTCCAGCTGTCAGGGAATGCTTCCCAAGTTGCTCTCGCACAGGACCTGAAGATGGAGAGGTTGCCCAGCTGGGGGAGAAAGCAACCTGCTGCCGCTTCTTCTAAAGCAGGGAAATGAGTTAGCAGTAAAGCAGGTCCTGCAACTCAGCCTCCGTGCTGAAGGGGCCATCCGGGGCGGGAGTTCTGGGTGTGGCTGCACAGGGAAAGGGTATTAATTGGATCTCACTGGTATAGCAGGGGGTATAGCTCAAGGGTAGAGCATTTGACTATAGATCAAGAGGTCCCCAGTTCAAATCTGGGTGCCCCCTGGCATTTTAGCCACCAGCGGTGGTGGTGGTGGTGGTAAAGAAGTTCCAATTTCCTCTCCTCTTGCTGAATCTGGGTTCTGAGTTTTCTTGCAAAGGGTGAAGAAGCAGAGATCACACCCAAGCCGGCAGCTCTGCTCAGGTGGTGTGTTTGTCCCCTCCTCTGATCTCCCCACACTCCCCTCACCTGGTCCCTGCACTCACCAGTGTGTACTTGGTCTCCTGGCTGAGGGTGAGGACTCTGTCCTTTGAAGGAAGCCAGAAGGAAATCTGAGATCATCTATAAAAGGACAATATTTCAACTGCTGTATGACTTACCAACAGTTGCTAAGGAAGCCAGAAAGCAGTACAATAACACATTCCATATGTTGAGAGGAAATCACAGTCAGCTTTGAATTCTATTCCCAGCCAAACTATTCTTCAAGAACAGACAAAAGCTGAAAGAGTTTACTGCCAACAAACTCTCACTAAAGCAAATTTTAAATATATACTTTAGAGAAAAGAGAAGTGATCCCAAAATGGGAGATCTGAGACAAAAAAAGGAATGTTGAAAAAAGAAAATATAAGATATGTAAATAAATCTTAAAAAATCATTGACCATATAACACAATGCTAATGCATAATTTATAAAGTTTTTTTAAAAAGATAAAACTGGGGCGCCTGGGTGGCTCAGTCGTTAAGCGTCTGCCTTTGGCTCAGGTCATGATCCCAGGGTCCTGGGATCAAGCCCCGCATGGGGCTCCCTGCTCCGTGGGAAGCCTGCTTCTCCCTCTCCCACTCCCCCTGCTTGTGTTCCCTCTCTCGCTGTGTCTCTCTCTGTCAAATAAATAAAATCTTTAAAAAAAAAAAAGATAAAACTAAAATACTGGTTAACAATAACATACAAGGAACAGAGTGATAAGAGTTAAAGTATCTTTATGTAATTTGTGAGGAGGATAAAAATATTAACATTAGAACTTTAAGATTTGAAAGCAGAAATTTCTAGTGTATCCTTTCAAAAGTTGTGATTTTGCCAGGCAAAAGGGGATAAAAGAATGCAGGGTATATGCTGGTAGTCTTGCTAAACACTCATTAATTCTAATAATTTCTTTGTTGATTCTTTTCAATTTCTTATGTATATGCTCATACCGCCTAAGTATTTTACAAGTTTTATTTCCCTTGTTCCAGGCCTTAAGATTTTTCTTACCTTATTGTACCGATTAGGACCTCAAGTGTAATGTTGAATAAGGGTGTTAATAGTAAATATCTTGACTCATTCTGATTTCAAATGAAAAGCTCTCAACATTTTACCATTAAGTACATATCGTGAACTATACTTTTTCTAAGTGATCTTTATCAAATTAAGGAATTTTTCTTCAATTTCTAGTGTGCAAAAAAAAAATTTATCATGGATGTGAAATTTTATCAAACCCCCTTTTTGCATCTATTGAGATAATCATATGATTTTTCCTCTTTTAGTCTACTTACATGGTGAATTACACTTATTGCTTTTTATAAAATTAAACATACTTTGGATTTCAGATATAAATCCAACTTAGTCATGAAGTCCTATCCTATATATATATATCAGATATATACATTTGTCAATTCTGTTAGATAATAATTTAATTTTTCGTACCTATGTTTATGAGTGAGATTGGCCTATGCATTCTTTATACTGTCCTTGTTAGGTTTTGGTATCAAGATTGTGCTAATCTCGTAAAAAGAGTTATAGAATGTATATATCTTTTCTATTCTTAGATTTTTATGTAAAAATAGTTACTGCTTATTTAAGGATGAGACAAAACTCACCAGTAAAACCATCTTACCTGAAATTTTTGTGAAAAAGTTTCAAATAACAGTTTGAATAAAGTAACTACTTAAAACTTAGAGGACTATTCAGCTTTTCTATTTTTGTGTGTGTGTCAGCTTTATTAAGTTGTATTTTTTAAGTTCTTGCTCAATTTCAGCATAGCATAGTAGCAAAGTCTTTGGACGCTTAACACATAATATGTGGGTTCAAATTCTGGGCTCTGAGTGGACTTAGTGAAATCGATTAACTCCCTTAGCCTCAGTTTTGCCATATATAAAAAGGGCATGATTATAGAAATGAGCACAGTGATAATGCCTCATTCATGGAGATGTTATGAAAATTAAATTAACATTAATAAAATAAAAATTAACATTTTTAAAGTACATAAAATCATGTCTGCCACACAGTTTAAGTTCTTTGTTCATGTTTGTTAGATTTTTAAATTTTTTGTATATTGTTTTTCATAATGTTAAATAATCATTATTTTAAAGTCTAAAGAATCTGCAGTTTTGCTTTTTAATTTCTGATATAGGTTTATTTGTTTCTGTTTATTTTTCCTATCAGTTTCATGAAAGGTTAGTCAATCTTTTCTTTTCAAAAACCAACTTTTGGCTTTGTTAATCCTGTCTATTGTGTGTTTGTTTTCTATTTCATTAATTTCTGCTCTTTTCTTTCTTCTCTCATAGTGTTCTTTTATCCAGTTTTTCTAACTTCTTGAGATGGATTTTTAGTTTATTTCTATTCTTCTTTTCCAGCATATTGCTCAAAGCTACAAGTATTTCTCTAAATGCTGATTTAATGTCCATCAATGGATGAATAGATGAAGAAAATGTCACACATACACACACACACAGTGGAATATTATTCAGCCATTAGAAAGAAGGAAGTCCTGCCATCGGTAACAACATGGATGAAACTGGTGGGCACTGTATTAAGCAAAATAAGCCAGGAACGCCCCTGCCCCAAAAAAAGGTAAATACCGTATGGTATCACTTATATGTGAAAAAAAATTTTTTTTAAGTCAAATCCAGAAACAGAGAGCGGATTGGTCATTGCCAGGGGCTGAGGGGTGGAAGAAATGGGGGGATATTGGTCAAAGGGTAGAAACTCAGTTATAAGGTGAATAAGTTCCAGAGATCTAATGTACATCATGGACACTATAGTTAATAATACTGTATTGTAAACTTGAAAGTTGCTATGAGAGTAGATCTTAAGCATACACACACACACACACACAAGTAACTATGTGGGGTGATGGTATGTTAATTAACTTTTTTTTTCAGTCCCCTCTACCACAAATTAAGCAGTCGAGTTTCCCACATTTGGGGAAATCACAGGGGTCAGC